AGGGTCTCTATAATTTCTTCTGGTCTGTGGACTTCACACTGGCTGGTTCATCATCATCCTGGTGATTCTATTGCCTCCACCTTGTCATAGGAGTGCTGGGATTAGAGATGTGTATCATTGCATCCATATTTTTAGTGGGTTCCCGGGATGGAACTCAGGTCATCAAAAGTGCACAGCCATTTTGCTAGTCCAGATTGGCTGAACTTCTGTCTCCACCCTCTTTTTGAGGTAATTATTCTAGTTTCTGTAAGAAACGAAACTTATATTTATATGCCTAAAACTTTACTGAAACTTCAGACAGGCCTGTTCGTCCTGTTTCCTTTAGTTTGATGAACAAAGTTGTATTTTCTTCTTGAGCACCGCGCTCTGCTTCCTCCTAGAGGTGCTTTTCTGGACAGGAGGCTGGCAGTGTGCTCCCCCCATGTTGACACGACATACATCTAGCAGTGGATGTTTCCCTAGTTGCAAGGTGGACATGTGTACCAATTTCTCTCTCTCTGCCTTTCCCAGATACACCCTTTCGTCCTCTCTTTGTTGCCCGGGATACTCTGTTGGCTACATTCCAGGCACCTCACTTCACCTAGAGCCTGCCTCCATCTTTCCCCTTCTTGACTTCTGTTGACCTCCTGTGACCACTTCACTTCCTGTCCATGCACTGCTGTCACTGCAGCTCCTGTTCCTGCTTCTCTAGCTGAGTGAGTTTGTGTGACCTTCGCACTGTATTCAAGCTGTGGGATTTGCATGCTGTAATGATGTCGGTGTGGAGGTTAGCAGATGGCAACAGAGCAATGAGACCTGACATGTTCTAATGACTCTCTCCTTCCCATCCTCACTAGCCAAGCCAGTGGAAGGGCAGGGGTTTCCTTGAAGTATTTAAGGAGGGGGCCAAGGGAAATCAGGGGTGGGGCCCAGGTGCCGATGAGGCCTGTGACCTTTGCTGCTATAATATCAGTGTTTCACAAGCAGGGCGGTTCAGGAACCCACTTGCAGCCCATCAAAAATTGATTTAATTGCAATTTTTCCTCCAATTAGGAGCACTGGAGCCTGACTAATTGGAGTAATAGAGAGTAATAAGGCTCAGATAAAAAGCCTTCCTCGGCTCCCTTTGTATCTTGTGTCAGTGCCTGTCAGAGGTCAGAGAGCTTGCATATTCTATTAGGCAGCCTGGCCTTCATTTGTACAAATTAGTTTACCCAACAGTAATTAAAATGCCAATGCGGGTTGAAGAGAACTGAATACACTTGATGGGCATGCTGGTGAATGATGTGACAGCTCTGGTGGCCTCCCTTGCCAAAGTGTGTCAGCCTGGGCTCAGGCTGCTGGGGCCTAGGCCAGCTGGGTGGCTCTGGCCATCCACGGGCCACAGCTGCTGAGCAAACCACTTCTGCTGCCTGTCTCGGGGCCAGGCTTTTCTTCTTGTCCAGGTAGAACCACGTTCAACTTGTTGATTCATTCACTCAGTCATTCAGGAACTTTGGGGACTTCAGGCAGACACTGTACTTCATTCTGGGAACCAAACAAAATTAACTTGAAACATAGCTCATATGCATTGTGGGGTGAAGAGTGATCTACTGGATTCTAGAATTAAGAGGGCCAATTCTAGTCCTACTACCTGCTGCTCAGGTGAATAAGAGGCAAGTTTTATTACCTCCCTGAGCTTTCTAGTCTGTGGGAAATGCTAGTAAAATACTTGCTCAGCACCTTACACCTAGTAGGGACTCAGTAGATCACAGTGGTATGGTGATGTATCGTGTGCTTGGGAGGCTGGAGTCTAGGCCACATACGATGGCCCTGTCTCTAAACAAATAGTAGTGAATGACAGTCATTCTCCTGTGTCTGTGAGGGACTGCACCCAGTACTTGTCCCCTAATCAGTACCAAAATCGTTACATGTTCAAGTCCCTTCTTTAGTAAATGCACAATAGCCAGCAGGTGGTGTATTCCTGTAATCCCAGCACTTAGTCGTCAGAAACAGGAGGCCTAACAAGTATGATGCTACCCTAAGCTTCATAGTGAGTTCCCAGTCAGCCAGGGCTCTCAAAATCAAAGCAAACATAAATAAGGGGCTGGAAAGGTGGCTCAGTGAGTAAGCACTTGCTGCTTTTGCAGAGGACCAGGGTTTGGTTCTCAGCCTCCACATAGGACAGTTTACAACTGCATGGAACTCCAGCTCCAGAGTTAATGTCCCTTCTTACCCTCCATATTCCTGAATTTTCTCAACCTTCTGTTCTTCATCTTGCATGCAGGACCCCTAACTTTCTTGATTGGATGGCTCTGTATCCACTTTGGGCTTTGTGGCCTGTGTGATACCAGACTTGCCTGAGGTAGATCAGTGGCAGGTTGAGGGTATGAACAAGGGCTGAGAAATTTTAGGCTAGCTCCTGGCAAGGGCTTTGTTGTTAAAAAGAAAAGGTGTTAGCTTATGGAGTCTGAGGGACTTCTTACTCCCCCATCAGTGGATATTGTCATATGTTGTTGTTCAGGTTTAAATCTTTGATGATTTGGAGAATATTCCTTTAAGGACCAGTTTCACTGGCTGTATAATTGGCTTCTCTAACCCTGTTGGCCTTGAACTCTGGAAGGCCCCTTTCTGGTCAGTTTTATGGATCTGTATTGAGTGCCCTTTGGGCTAAGCACTGTACTAGACATGGGAGTCCATGTGGACAGTCTCTTAGGAGGAGCCGTGGAAGGGATGCTTGTGTTTGATTTCATTGAGAATTTTAACAGGCTTGGCATAGGACCCAGCATAGTGACAAATATGTAGCAAATCCAGCATAGACATCAGACTGACCCCAAGCAGGCCAGAGATCAGGACAGGTTTTAATTCGGGAGCAAGGATTATGGTGCTTAGGGAAGTGGGGGTTGAGCTGCCAATAAGGCATAACCCCCACCGCATCACTCTTTCAAAGCATTCTATCTGGACGGTTTGGGGCAGGTGCTGAATATTGGCAGCCCTGTCTGGGATTGGCCGGGCTCATCTGTTACTAGCATCTTCCTTCAAATGTGGCTAGTCTCCTGCTTTTGCCACATTTTTCCTAAGGACCATAGGCATTGGGGAGAGGGCAGACAGAAAGCATGGCCACAGCAGTAGGGAGGCGTTCCAGGAATGTGGGGCTACATCTATAGCTGGCTTGACTCCTTGGCACCCAGGCAGTCCTGGACTGGGCATGTTCCCCAGCTGCTCAAGCTGTCTGCAGTCTGTAGCTCAGCGTTTCTGTTATTAACTCTTAGGCCCTCCTAAGGGCCAGAAGGACATTCTAGCTTCACAGCACCTAGGCAAAAGGGGAAGGACAGCTTCTGGAGAGAAACACTTATAGGTAGATATCTTTTATAGACAACTAAAGAGGTGAGGGGCCTCTTCTTGGTGGCAGATGGTCAGGACCAGGAGTGAATAGGCCAAGCAGAGGACAGGAGCCCCTTGGGAAGGGTCTACATAACCCCCCTCTTTCCCCTGCCCCTTCCCCACTACTGGGAGGTCAGGCTGCAGGAGTGGCAGGGATTAACTCCAGGCTCCTCCCCAACCTCTCTGTATTGATTTACCTTGAGGCTAATTTAGGCCTGTGGCCAAGAGGTCTAGAGAGACTTCCTTAAGAGATGTCTGTGTCTGTGCTGGCGCCCTTCACCTGGCCCCAACTCCTCAAAAGTCTGGAGAGCCCAATTGCCTGCTCCAATGGTTTCCAAGTAGCTATTGTGTTTCCAGGCCAAGGTAATTGGCTTTACCAGTTATTAATGGGTTACCCCAGAGAGAACATGCAGGAGGAGGCGAGGGTGACACCTCCTGACTCTGTAGTTTAGTTTCTTGCTGTCCAGTGGCAGCTGCCCAGGCTAGGAATGAGGCATGGCAGGAGAGGCTGCCTGGCACGGCCACTTTGTGGCAGAATGACTGCTGGCTGTACTGTAGATTAAGAGGAAGTTGGGATGCTATCATATTCCTGGAGGAAGCCTTGGAAGCCTGAGCCTCGAGAGCCCCAGTGTGTCTTATCTGGCCTCGCTCCAGTTTGGAGATGACAGGTGGGCACTAGTCCATAGTTTCGATAGTAAACCAGCCACCTGGTCAGTGCCTGGCCCAGGCATTTACCACGTCAGCAGCTGGCAGCTAGCTCCTTGTTTGCTGCACTGTCCAAACCACTGCCTCTTTCAGAACCTTCTCTGTAGCACTCTACCTCCTCCTGACACGTTGGGTACAGAAAGTACAGGTGCTGGGCCATGTAGGCCAGTGGGCTGCTTGCCTATATGGTTAACGTATCATTAGTGTATCCAGGCTTCCTTCCCCTGTGCAGGACGTGTAGGGACCTGGCCCATCCCTGCCCCAGTGTTTAAAAACAGTAAGGTTAAAACCTTACTGATTGACATGAGGTTTCTTTTCTTTTCTCTCTTTCTTTCTTCCTTCATCCCCCTACCCCCATCCCAGACAGGACACCCCTGGCTGTCCTGAACCTAACTCTGTAGACCAGGCTGGCCTTGAATTCACAGAGATCCACCTGCCTCTATCTCCTAAGTACTAGAATTAAAGGCTTGTGCTACCACTGCCCAACTGGTTTCCCAACTCTTAAACCCTCATGAAATGTCTCCGGCTGATTGTGGTACCATTTGTCAATCCCAGTAGGATGTTCCCAGGAGACCTTATGGCCTTGTGCTCTCAAGTCTCAGACAGCTATATCTTTAAGAAGCTCACTGCCTTGGGTTCAGAACTCACTTCCAGAGGTCTGCTGCTACTGTGGTCAGAGGACACGTGGTCCCAGTCCAAAGAGCAAGCTCATCTGTGGTCGAACCTGTAGGTCCTGTAGTCAGCCTTGGGAGGTTGCACCCCTCCCCACTACCCACCAAGTTATCTCTCCCAGGCTTCTGTGCTGTGGTACTTCCTCATTCTCTCTCAATGTTTCTTTTTCTGGCTTAACCCCATGATCCCTGGGGAAAGAGCCCTGCATTTCTAGTGTGTAGCCATTTCCGCCACAGGTTCTGACAAGCCAGCTCTAACTCGACTCTCCTTTTGTTCGGCAGCTCTTTTGTGACAGGAACAGCTTGTTGTGGGCACTTCTCACCTCTGAGGATCTGGGACCTCAACAGGTAAGAGATTCCTAAACCCACAGAGCATTCAGTGGGGGCAGGGGTAGGGCAGCTGGGAGACTAAACAAGAGCTAGCTGCTAACCAGCCCCTGCGGTACCGCATTGGAGGAGGTGGGGCAGGAACCACACCTAGCCACCCACGGGCAGCTGCAGTGCCTTTCTTGGGAGTTATTTGAGGTTAGCTTGAGGAGATCACCTGTACCAGGTGGGTAATTTCATGTAGAATTGATAGTAACTACTTGAATTTAATATACCTTCTGAAGAGTGCCTGGCTATGTAATCTATCCTCAGAGGGGGATTTTTATGATATAAAAAATTTCAAAGGTGGCCTACAGAATCTATAAAAAGAGTTGTCTAGAACAATTAAAACACAAGCAGGTTTTCTTTACAGTTGTCCAGTTGGCAAGCCTAATACGTTCTCATCGATTGTCTGTTTATAGTGTTTTTGGTACCCCACCCCCCGAGACAGGGTTTCACTGTGTAACAGCCTTGGCTGTTTTGGAACTCGCTCTATAGACCAGGCTGGCCTCAAACTCACTGAGCTGAGCCACCTGCCTTCTGAGTGCTGGGATTAAAGGTTATGCTACCACTGCTGGCTTGGTTTTGTTATTTTTTAACCAAAAACTTTTATTTTGAAATAATATTCTATATTCATAGGAAGTTACAAAATAGACTAGAGGGGTGCTCATATAACATCTTAAATAACAGAGCATATCAAAAGCAGGAAACTGACACTGGTGTGTCCCATAAGCCGTTCTTTTGCCCAGTGCACCTACTACCACAGCACCTACTACCAGGCTTTGGAGGCACACCTTTAATCCCAGCACTTGGGAGGCAGAGGCAGGCAGATCTCTGTGAGTTTGAGGCCAGCCTGGTCTATAACACAAGTTCCAGGACAGCGAGGACTGTTACACAGAGAAACCCTGTCTTGAAACCCTGCCCTCAAAAGATAAAGATTCTTCCTCATACACCCTTCCTAATGGTACCTGCCATCCCTCTCTAACTCCCCACCACCACTTAGATGTTCTTTGCCTCTAATTTTGCTATTTTGAAGATATGATATAAATGGAATTGTATGTTAGCTTTTTGAAAAAAAATATTTATGTGTATGAGTGTTTTGCCTGTGTGTATGTCTGTGCAGCATGTGCATGCAGTACCTGCAGAATCCGTAAGAGGGCGTCAGATCCCCCTGGAACTAGGGTTACAGACAGTTGTAAGCTGCCAAGTGGGAGCTGGGAATTGAACCAGTGTCCTCCGGAAGAGCAGTCAGTGCTTTTAACCACTGACCCATTTCTCCAGGCCCTAGTGTGTTACCTTTTTAAGACTAGCTTTTTAATGTTGGAAATGGTGGCACATACCTTTAGTCCCAGCACATACCTTTAGTCCCAGAGAGGCAGAGGCAGGCAGATCTTTGTGAGTGCAAGGCCAGCGTGATCTACATAGTAAATTCCAAGCCTGCCAAGGCTACACAGTGAGACTATCTCAAAAAAACAACAAGTAAAAAACAAAGATTTTTTTTCTTAGAAAACTCAGCATATTCCACACGACCTACAGACGTGTACATAGCAGTGCCGTTCCTTTGGACCACGGAGTATATAGTCCAGTGCAGACACACCCAGTCTCTCCCTGATGAAGAACATGCACCCATTCAGGGACTTGCGAGTTGTTTTCACAGTTGGACAACTGCAAATAAAGCTGCTATCTAGGACCATCTGTGCATAGCTTCATGTGGGAGCACATTTTCATTTCTCTAGGGGAAATGCCAGCAAAGTCAATTACTTAGTTTTTTTTTTTTTTTTTTTTTTTTGAGACAGGATTTCTCTGTGTAGCTTTGGAGCCTGTCCTGGAACTCTAGACCAAGCTGGCCTCGAACTCATAGAGATCCACCTGCCTCTGCCTCCCGAGTACTGAGATTACAGTTGTGTGACATTTTATTTTAGATTATTTTAATAAGTGCATGTTTAGTTTTTTTTTTACTTACCAAACTTTTCTCAGTACCTCTTTACCATTCCACATGTCCACCAGGACACAAGGTATCTGGTGTTCTGTACATCTTGACTAGGTGTTCCTGGTGCCACTGTTTTTATTTTCTGTTCTGATAAGTGTGACACTATGATTTTGACTTGGGCTTCTCTGATGTTGAACATGTGTTCATGTGCTCATCTGCCATCTGTCTATCCTGTTTACATGTTAGCTCATGTCCATGGTCCATCACATTGCTTTTCTACTATTGAGTTTTGAGCTTTATATAGTCTAGACATTAGTCCTTTGTCAAATGTTATAAATATTGTCAAATTTACAAGTATCTTCTCCTAATCTGGACCTTGTCTTTTTGTCCTTTTAATTTAATGTCTTCTGCAGAACAAATTTTTACTATTTATGTGTATGTGTTTTATCTACATGTATTTGTCTGAGCACCATGTATGTGCCTGTTGCCTGCAGAGGCCAGAAGTGGGTGTTGGATCCCCTGGAACTGGAGTTCCAGATGGTTGTGAGCTGCCATGTGAGTGCTGGGAGCAGAATCTGGATTCTTTGGAAGAACAGCCAGTGTTCTTAGTCATTGAGCATTTCTTTAGCCTTCAGACTTTCAATTTTGATCCAGTCTAAATTACTGATTTTTCCTGTAATCAACTGTGACACCTGAAACTCTTCAGCTGAGGGAGGGAGGCTGCCTCTTTCCTGTCTTTCACGCTGTTGCTCTAGCTCTGCCCCCTCTCCTTTCCTCCTCCCAAGGGAAGAAGGGAGAAGCCACAGATGGTCTTTCTGAAGTGTGTGCCCACAACTGGTCTCTCTAGGTGATTTCTCAGCACAAGACTGATGACTGTCTGAGAACTGGGTGGGTGCTCAGCATCTCCCCAGACTATGCTGCCTTTCTAGTCAGCTTTGAGGGCCAGAATTCCCTCTCTTTGAGATTTGCTTCCTGAATCTATGAGCTTGGACAAGAAGAAAGCCAAATCCCTCTCTCCTGGAGAGCAGGCCTCTAGGTGTCTGTGACCTGTTCCTGCCCTTCCAGGGCCTTCTTTTTCCCAGACCCACCATTTCAGCTCCTTAGTTGTTCTTCATAAACAGAGTTCATCTATTAACTGTAGCTTTGGGCTCTAAGTAATGAAAATCAAATTCAAACAGATCAATTAGGAATGGAATTATGGCCAGGCAGTGGTGGCACAGGCCTTTAATCCCAGCACTTGGGAGGCAGAGGCAGGCAGATATCTGTGAGTTCTAGGCCAGTCTGGTCTACAGAGTGAGTTTCATGACAGGCTCCAAAGGTACAGAGAAACCCTGTCTCAAAAAAACAAAACAAAAAACAACACACGAAAGAATGGACTTGTGATTGGAAAGGACAAAGAGCCCAGAAGAAGCTCTTCTTTGGCCTGAGAGAAGAGCCAGCCTCTCCTACACAACACATACTGGTACTGGCGGAGAGAAAGGCAGGTGCTGCAGACCTGGGGTTTGGTTAACAGGAAAGAATGTAAGCAGTGGGCCAGTGGTCTGTGGAGCTGAGCTCACGCTGGCTTCAGGACCATTGTTACCTTCAATTCTCTGAATCAGTCCCTCTGAGCAATGGCCAGTCCAAGTGTGGTCTCATGTGAGATGGGTCTTACCTTCCTCACTTTAGATCTACTTTTGTGGGGCTGGAGAGATGGCTCAGTAGTTAATAGCACTGGCTGACTTTTTTTCAAAGGACTCAGGTTCGATTTCCAGAAACCACATGGTGGCTCCCAACCATCTGTTACGTCAGTTCCTGGGGTATCTGACAACCTCTTCTGGCCTCTGAGGACACCAGCTAGCTATTCATGTGGTGCACAGACATACATGCAGGCAAAACACCAATGTACATAAAAATGTATTTACTTTTGTCAATTCATTTGGTGGTCACATCACCCATTGCCAGCTAAACTAAAACTTCTAGGGCTCCTGTGGTTTTGTGTCCTGAGGCTGTTGGCATCTGGCACATTATTGAATTTGTTCTCATGAATTTATTCTGTAGAACGGACACCAGTCCTTCCCCCTTGAGATTAAGGCTGAGGCAGAAGGAACCCTCTCTTGTGGGGCTATGTGCTGGGACCAGAGGGAGTTGAGGGAGCCCTGGTTGTGTGGCTTGAGGCTCCCACTCCAGAACTACATTGCCACTTACCAGCTTCAATTGGGGCCTCGCTAGACTTTGCTTTGCACATTGGGGACTGAAAATGAGAATCCACTGTTCCCACTCCCAGGAATAGTTATGATTAAATAACTATGAAGAAAGGCCCCACTGCCAACACCTGCATCCTTTGCCGTCTCCCACAGCACTGAACAGTTCATGGAGACCTGACCTCTCAAGTCGCAGGAAACCTGTGGCCGCCACCAGTGGCAGGAGAGGAAGCTGCTGGCCACAGCACAGAGCAGGGTGTTGCCAGTGCGACTGTGGTCCACGGATGAGCATTGTATCAGCGGTTTCAGCTTCAGTTAGTCATAGAGTTGGGGCTCACATACCATCCCTTCTGCCTGGGCCCCGCTTTAGGAGGGGGGTCTGGGTATACCACCATGGCTTAGCAGAATCTCAAAGTTAGATGATCTGTGGGTGTGGTGTTGCTTGACTTTTAATCCCACCATCTGGGAGGTTGAGGCAGGTGGATCTCTGTGAGTTTGAAGCCAGCCTGGTTTACATTGTGAGTTCCAGAACAGCCAGGGCTACATCGAGAGTCTCCACCTCAACAAAACAAACAAGGTTGGATGATCTTTGAGCTGCCTCCTATTGCCTTGGAGGGGACTTAGGATCAGGATGGAGTTCTAAAGGACTGGCTCTGTGAATATACATTCTATGAAATCCCTAGACCTCATCAACCCCAAACACTGACACTTTACTGAACTCAAAATGAACCCAAATAAGAATGAGCACAAGACAACTAAGGTTCTGGGTTGCTCTGGAATCAAATGAGTTATTGTCACTGTGTTCTCTGGCCAGCTTCTGGGCTCTGCATGTGACAGGGCCACCCTAGGTGTCACATGGCATTGCCTCC